TCTGGAAAGTTTTTATATCGAATAATATTTTTTCATTTAGAGTCTTTAATTAGTGTTTACTTGATCAGAAGTAAATCGTTTCTTAGTCCTCAAACTCTTTTTCCATTGAAAATATGAAATCACTGGTAGAGGGCAAATCAAAATCGGTGGTATAGCAATTCATAAGTTATTTATTAAAACTGGATTTTATCACTTATGCAGCGTGCAACTGTGATAATAAAAATGCCCTTCAAATGATGCAATATTAGCTTTCAATTACTACAATTTTTTATAGCAGATTTGTCGAATTGTATTTTTCTTACGAGTTTTTTTAAAAATGGTGATTATTGTAATGTTGGTAGACACCAGAGTAGACTTCCTTCCACACTGAGATATACTGACTGTTTTGACTCCTACATAAGTAAATTGTCCAAAATGTAGTTTAACATTAACAAAATTTTAGAATGCTAATTACATTGTGAGTTTGTGTCATTATTTTCTGGTTGATATCTTCGTACTCTACTAAGCACTCTCTACAGAGTGAGAATTTCCAAATTTCTTAAGCACCCAATTCATCGTTCATAACTTTTAAGGATTTTGTTTAAAATTTTTTTTTTCGAAGAAGAAATTAGAATACAAAGTAAATTGCTTAGCATAACCTCAATTACAGTTTCTGTATTAATATAAATACTGAAATTGAAAACAATATCGTCTTATCTATGAGTGACTTATCGTAATTGTTTTATTACTCCCCTGTACAATTTTATTCCTCTTGCCACCGCAATATTATTTTATTATTTATTGTTGCATTTTAAGTTCCAAAAAATATTCTAAATATTTAATATGTGTTGAGTAATAATAGTTAACATTTTCGAAGTGTAAAATTTCCAATAAAATATTTAGTTGAATACAGTCTGCTACATATTCTATACTCAGCACGCCATAACAGCAGCGACAATTTCCTGCAGTTCTGAAAGTCATTACCGCTTTCACTAGTTTCCTCAAGGCGTGAATATAATTTATCGTGCTGAGTTGGCATAAATTGTAATTTTTCCATAATTTGTTAGTAACGCTTAATAAAATTTGTATCCTTATTGTATTTTATATTATTTATTTAATACTTAGAAAAGCACAAATAATTTAAATAAATAATCCTCGATAACTACATGTCATTTATAACATTTATTTAAAAGAAAATACTTTTGTTAAGCATGAGTTTTGTTGCCAATGTAATTAACAACTAAGAAAGTCCACCTCAAATTCTACTTCATATTCTTACATCAGCAACTAACAATTTATTTAATTAATTAAAAATATAAATTGGCATAATTCATTTGTGCTTTTCAGCAGTAGCGCATTTACAACTGCGTTAATCCGCATTTGCTGCTATGAAACTATGTCAACATTACCTCACTTCGGTTTCATTATGCAGCAAGCAGCAATTGGGCGTTGCATTCGACGTAGGAAGAAAAACACTGAACGGGATAAATGAACGCAGAGCGTATGCTTTAATGCCCCGAAGAGTTTCCATGCATACAATTCCATTTGAATTTTACTTGGTATTTCTAATATTTTCATTGTAATTTTAGCCACGCCATTTTGTAAGCTGTCAGGCAAATCCTTGTGGTGCAAATTAGGTGCGGTACTATTACTGCTGATTGTCTCCGTCATTGTCTCTGATGTATTAAGCACATTAAGTTTAGTGTGTAATTGTGTTATTATTAGGAATTAAATTTTACCACTCCTTCCTTCTGAGTTGAAAACAATAAGAAGATGTATTTAAGCATTAATTATGAAATATATAAAATGAAATTACTAATTTAATTTTATTCATTTTTATGAGCTTCAATACGGCTGCCTCTTCAGACCATAAGGACAAAGAAAGCCAACATATTTGTTTTTTGGCATCAAAAGGCAATATTGAAGTCATCAATCCCAATCGATTGGTTTCTAATATTAGAACACATAAACACAAACACATCCTATCAGTCCTCTCTTCTATATTGGCATTTGAATTGTTTCAATCGAAATAGTTGAAATGTCGTCCTTGTAATTAAAAATATATATGCAGTGCTTGTGCCAAAACTGTATATTGTATTATTTTCCTCTTTGTCCCAAAGGACATTTTCTTTATTATTTCTTCAAAAGCTGAAACTAGAAAACTTTGGGAAGCAAACGCTTTGGGGGTTGGCTTACTTAAAATGAAATTTTTACATGCATAAGAACTTAAAAGGATGTTTCGTAGTAGCACTCCGCTCAGTATGTGTCACATTTTTATTGCAGCGTAGGAACAGTGGAACAGGAAGCGCAGTGTAAGCAATGGAAAATTGTCACTGAGAATTGAGTAGGAGAATTTTTGTAAACTGTTGGAATTTTGTTCGTTTTAATTTATTTGTTAGCGACGTGAGTTGTTTATGGCTTCAATTTGACCAAATGAGTCGTTAATTTGAGTTTTCATTGTGGCTTTTGTGCCTTGTAAATGCTCCTCTTAGCTATATATATACATTTGTATCTACACATATACCTATGTATATATAGCGTATACTACAACATTTAATTGAATTTTATTAGCATTTTGCGTTTTACTTATTGAGCTTCTTTTCCTTTTGTTAATAATGTCTATGTCTGCCTGCCTGCTTGGTC